GCGAGATTAGCATTCAAACGGCCAAAGGAAACCCAACCTCACGAGGGACATGTTTCTTTAACAAAAAGAGAGAACAATTCCGAGTTACAAGGCTCAAGTTAAGGAGAAACTTCCGAGTTACCACTCATCATTTTTGTTGTCTCACCGGTCAGCTTGCTAACCAACAGGCCACTTCAGCAGTAGAGAACTGCTATCATATAGCCATGAAAACCGTGAATCCGTGAATGCTTCAAAATGCCAACTTTGGCATATTACTTGTGCAAAGGTGTGGTTTTGGCAACTTCAGGTTCTGCAGGGAGTGGACTTTTCCGGTTCGGGTGTAGAGGGCTTGAAGTGGCTGTCCAAAGTGCGTCCCGAGCGAGGAGGAGCCGGAGGGGTGATGTGAGGTTTGGATTTGTCCAAACGCAAGCGTTCACGATCAGCAGGGGTTTCCGGCTCGGAGGGGCTGTGGACAGGTGAAGAGGGGCGGCCGGTGGCAGCTTTGAGCTTCTCGTTCTCCTTCATCAATTGCTCCACTTGGTCCTGGAGAGCTTCGGTAGTGTTCTTGGGCATCTGATCACGAAGATGGTCGAAGACGCGATCGGCCAAGCGATCCAAGCCGTTGCGCTTCTCATCCCAGTCGTCCTTGAGGGAAGCAGGATGAAGGTGACCGATGATGCGGGCGATGTCAACGTCGGAGCTCTCTTGAAGATCTTCCGAGAAAGGGAAGACCAAAGGTAGGCCTCTTGACGATTCCGGAATCCCTCGTACTGCACCAACCTGCCGTTGGCGACAAGCCTTAAAGTCCAGTTCTCCTGCTTTCGACTGAGTACGTCGATAAGGCGTACATCCTCAATGGGTTGGTGGTCAATATGAAGATCACGACTCCAAGCAGTTGCGACGACTCGACGAGGAAAAGTCAGTTTGTACTCCTGTTGCCGATCCAAGTAAATGTCATCGGGGGACCAGGGAATCGGGTACCGGGTCTCGAAGGAGGTAGTCGATGGAGCCCAGTGGATTTCCTGCGTGGAGAGCGGGAACGACGGGAGGTGCGGCGATCACGTTTTCCTCGATGTCGATGAGCGTCAGGGGAGCTGCTGGTGGAGCGTCCGTGGGCCATGGTCAGAAGAAAAAGTCGATGAGGATGAAAGTGATACGAAAGGAGCAAAATTGAGAGCTGAGGAAGTAGCGGCGGTAAGGTTCAGGGATCACAGATAATGCAGCATGATAAAAGGCACTGAGGGAAAGAAAAAGAAAGAAAGGACAGGAAAAGGAAAGGGAAAGGAAAAGGAAAGAAAGGACAGTGAGACCATAGAAGGCACTGTTTTGGACAAGCGCGCCTGAGTCAAAAAGTTGCACTAGAAAGCAGCCGCATAAAGTTCACGAAGAAGGTGCTGGGGGAGGTGGTGATGGAACCTCAGCAGAATCAGCCGGAGTCGATGCCGGTGGAGGAGTCCTGTGTCGTGTAGCTTGCCAAAGATGACCGTGTAGAAGGCCTCGTCCATCAAGAGGACGTTGATGGGAATGATCCCGTCCCGAAGAGAGAGTCGAGGGAGTAGAACCGCGGGAGGAAGTCGTCCATGGAGAAGTGGATGTGGAGGTGTCGGGTAGTAGAAGTAGAGGATTGGGTGGGGGCGTACGAGAGCGAGAACGGGCAGGTGTGGGTGTAGTAATAGGTGGCGGTGTAGCCGGAGTGGCGGGAGTTGGAGGTGACACCGGTGGTGAGTTCGAAGCATGGTTCTGATGTGATTGTACTCGGGACAAAAGACCTTCATCAGCCGCAGTGCCGAGGGCTAAATTGTCTTCAGGAGTGCCCAAGGCGTGAAGAAAGCCGTTGGGGTTGACGCGATAATGACCGAAGGTAATGTTCTCATCAGGAGGAGGTACAACATGTTGGAGAAGGGAAATACCACGAGCAATCCGACGTTGTTGAATGTTGAACTCATGTACAGCACGACGTGTCTGGATGTAGATGTTCCGGGCAGAGATAGTCTCAAAGTGTTCATCAGGTGGTACCTCTTGAGACATCATGGGGTGGGCACAAAGTGCCTCCGTCGTCCAGGCCGCAAGGCAGACCATCCAGTGAAGCCATAGAAGCTCAGGTTGGCGGTGTGGTTGAGGTCGGACGTTTCCAGGTGGTGGACTGACTGGTAGACGGTAGGGATTGAATACGGAGCCGTAGAACCAGCAAGTAGACCCGTGGGAGGAGGATCCATGAGGTCGAGAACAAGAAGATCAGGAGGAAGTAGAGACGAGTGCGGCAATCTGAGTAACAAACGGCTGCGGCAGTGGGAGAAAGGGAAAGGGAAGAAGTGGAGAAAAGGAGAACGAAAGGAGGGGAAAGGGAGGACCACGTACAGAAAGTAGTAAATGACATGAAACGAACCAAAGCGGTCAGGACGAAAGCACTTTTTAACAACTAGGCGTGGCGAAGGAAGAGGGCAACTTATGGCCCGAGTCAAAGTTAGGAAGGTGACGAAGTCCTGGATGAAGGTGCAGCCGGACCATATGGATGAGGTAAAGGAGGTAGTACGGCGTCATTGGGGATCCAAGGTTGAGACGGTAAAGCGTGAGGTGGGAACAAGGCAAGTCGATGTACTGTAGCAACCTGTTCGTCTGAGTGACTTCGTCCATCAAGCGTTCCGTGGGGGCATGTAGTTCCCGGAGGAGTTGTACCAAGTCAGCCGGCAGCCCCGGAGGGAAATCAGTGGTGTAGGGCATCTCAAAAAGTACCTCCAAGGAACGAGAAATCGAATCCACCAAAGCACGCGTGAGATCAGCATGTTGATGATCCCCAGTGGAGCCTGCTGGGGATGAGTTTCCATTGTAGTCCAAAAAGAAGCCTCCATCGTTGTGGGAGACAAGATAGAGGAGAAACGAATAAGGGAACAAACGAACTTGAGCCGAAACAGGAAAGCAGGTTGGTCAAAGGCGGAGGGTCTGGGAAAGAGAAAATGATAGGAACAAAGTCAGAAACAAGTGGTAGGTAGGCGTTCTTTTCTTCTGGGAAGACGGCTCCGCTGGCAGAAAATAGCGACATGTTGTCGCGACGGTGCAAGGAGGGTATGGTACTCTTGGACGAAGGAGTCATAGTGGAATGTCAGAACGTCGAAGGCCATAAGAGGGGAGCTCGTCCGTACGGATGAACAAACCGGCATATTGAATTTGACTCGAAGAAGTGCGACACTTGTACCTCTGATCTGACCGATTCCGCACAACATCGTAGAAGTGACTGGCGATGGCATCACAAGGAAGTCCCCCTGTGCGCACAACGTAGTGCTGGGCTTGGCGGGAGAAGCGCCGAGTCAAGTCCTCGAATTTGCATCTGAAGATGTGGCGAGGTAATGTAGTCCATGAAGGAGGGGGAAAGGATAGCAAAGCGAGTACGAAGGAGTGAAATAGCGAGGATCAGCAAACCATGTAGGTGAAGAATTTCTCGATGGAGAATAGTCTGGGCCCTCATCGTGATGCCGTCCACGGGGTTGAGACCAGCCGGAGAAGGAAACATGGCGGGAAGAGGGAGCGAAGCAACTGAGAAACTAAGGCTCCAACAGGTTCCAATGAACCTTGAACAGACTTCGGTCGCTGCGACCACGTACGGCTTGCCCATGGGCTGCCACCTCTGACCGCTACGGTCACGTAAAGGCATGAGCCAGCTTGGAATTCGTAAAATGGGACAAATTGGAGTTCTCTCGGCCTAGGCCACCTTCGCCCGCTCTGGGCATCTACATCTCCGATCAAGGGGGGATAACGACGTACACCCGTTCGACGGGTCCACGGGAGGCACTCTGCGGGCTCATCCCGGGTTGGCACGAGGCCAAACACACTTAGGATAGGGTGTACTGAACTGAAAGCGGTGCCACACGCCGGCCTAGGGTTCCATTTCCTAAGAGTATCGGTAGGGAACCAGCGAATCCTGGGGGTCTTCAAACGGAGAAATGGCCCAAAGAAGGAGAAAACGAACGACGGACGAACAGGCTGACGACGTTCCGCTCGCATCTGCAGTTCAAAGAAGACATCAAAACTTCGAGGTTCTTGGCTTAGCCTCATGCCATTCAGAAAGGAAGGAAAATCGCAGGTACGCCAGACTGATCAGGTCTGGTATCACGACGACATGGATGGGTCTTCGTTGGCTCGTGCCACCCATGCGTCCACGAGCCCCCTGCTGTAGTAAAGGCTAAAAGAAGGCAAACCGAACAAATCCAAAAGGATCCCTATGATTCCAAGGGTTACACACACACACATCCTTTCACCAACGATCAGAAACTACAACTATCCAGCAGTAACAACCACCACGTCACCGGCAGTGGAACACCGTGGTAGCAGAATACCATTTCACAGCCGTAAACATAACGGCGCTTGACTCACTTCATTAGTCAGTAAAGAAGCATCTCACTCACTCCCACCACTTTACCCAAGGTCGAAGCATACTTCACCAACAGTCAGAAACCACGATTTGAAGATTCTGCCACTTCACTGTCAGTGGATCATCCAATTGCCCCAGCTGTAGAACCATTTCTTTTCACTGTCAGCTAAAGCCACCACCATTTCACCCCGGTTACATTGATTGATCTCGCATAAAACCCTACGCTTCACTATGGTGACCACGGAGAAAGAACCTACCAGCTCGTCAACAGTCCACAATTAGAACCAGGCGGATTTCAGACTCGCATTGTTTGGCAGATTTCAGACTCCCAAATGACGTTGCTTTTGTGCCTCAATCACTTCATGTTCTTTTTCGTGCTCCGGCCGCTGGTCATCACTCACTTTTCCTTTATTTAGCGTCCTTTAGCTTTTGCTCACCCATGCTGGCCTCAAGTAAAGATTGACAAGTTGGCACCTTGACTTGGTAAGTCTTCGATTTGTCACACGTAGTGATACTCGCAGAGCCACAATGATCATGGACTGACAATGTGCGTCGTACAGCTGTAATTGCATCCCATTTCACATGTTTGTCCGTACTCACAATGATTCAATCATGCTGTGTCACATTGTTTCACAGTTTCGTACTCCTTTGGAAGGTATGTGTTGAAGGAAGGGCAGGACATCAGCGGTGCTTACTACCTAGTGGAAATGGCGAGGTCCTCAGAGTTGTTTCAGGGGTGGTATGCCACCAGTTGTTCAAACATGTTCAAACTCATCTAGAAATGCAGCCACCGATAGGCCACTGATGGGCGAAATTTGGCTATCACTGCGCACAAGCCTTAGCTTGGTGGTGATGTTGAGACATGACGATTTACGACACAAACTGTAGGTACGATGACAAACAGAAGGCAACCTTAGAGTTGCTTGTGAATGAAGCAAACCACCGCAAGTCTGGAGCTTAAAGAGGAGTGGCAGGTAAGATGGCAGCTAGGCCACTTCGCCACAGGCTTTTTCGAGATCACAAGGGAGACTATAGGGCTATTGCTGCCAAGCTTTGTCTAGATGGTCATGGACTCAGTTTTGGAGTGTGTTTTGCATAATGAGAGTGGAGACCAAGTGATGCTAACCAATTTGCATGTTCAATTCCTTCCCCCGCGCGTTACTAGAGGCTCCTGGCCCTACTACTAGGAGCAAGAAGCTACTAGGAGCAAAGGGCATCGCTACTAGGAGCAAGGACGCTACTAGGGGCTCCTGGTCCTACTGCTAGGAGCAAGAAGCTACTAGGGGCTCCTGGCCTTACTACTA